TGTGAGCAACATATGCCATGAAGGTGAAAATGGTTTGGAGATGTTGCAAAGCTCACACATGTGATGATGAAGGAGTTTATTGCACATGAGACATGACATTGAGTCATGTGATCAAGGTGGAGAAGATCAAGACAAGACTTGGCTTGATGGACCGGTTGCAAGCGTGAAGGGCAAGTCGGAGGCTTTGGAGCGATGGACCGTGTAGCGGTGAAGCTTGAGCAAGACTTGGCGCCGATGGACGAAGGCAACGGTGAAAAGCAAGTGAAGTCAAGATCGATGAACCAATATGATCACGTGATGATATGAAGTGGATCATATCATTGTTGATCATGTTGGTGCATGTGTTGCATCGACATTGGAGGAGATGGAATGAAATGTGCAAGGCAAAGGTATAACCTAGGGTATTTCATTTCACTGATCATAGGTGTGTAGAGAAGTTGATGACCAGGTTTAGGATAGATGGCCATACTATTAAGAGGGGCAAACTTGTTTGCATATCGGTCATCTAGTGCCACTCGAGTGATCTAACTTTGCATCATCGCTAGGATCGAGTGGCGTGGCAAGTTGAGTGACTAATCCTTTAGAAAATATTTGTGAAAAGCTAACACACATACACATGGTGGTGCACACTTGACGGTGTTGGTACATTTGCAAAGGAGAAGAAGTTAGAGTTGTTGTGAATCAACTTAGAGAAGAGAAAAAGGTTTTTCGGTGTACTCTGAACTATAGGATGGTCCTTGGATTAGAATACTGCTTTGATCCATTGTGATTTGGATCAAGTATGCATGTGGGATGTGTAGCCCTCTGAGTAAGCTTTCCAAAATATCCAAGATCATCAAAATCAGAGTTCGGAGCTAAGAGTTATAGCCGTTTTAGCACTGAAAGGTCTGTGACCGGACGCTGGCGCGAAAAATGACCGGACGCTGGGTTCCAGCGCCCGGTCAGCACCTGCGCGTCCGTTCAGTGTTTGTAGCGTGTCCAGAAGCGATCGGACGCTGAGAGAGTCCAGTCAGTGATGACCGGACACGTTCGGTCGCTGAAAAACATCGCTGGAACCTCTCTGTAAGTGACCGGACGCTGGGGTTCAGCGTCCGATCGTTATGACCTGCGCGTCCGGTCAGTACGCACTTTGCCTAGTGAAGGGGTAACGGCTATTTTAGCCCTTCGGGCTATAAAAGGGGTGTGTGGTCGGCCTTGGGATGGTTGCTTAGCACCCTCACGCCTATGTGGCTTGTGTAGGAGTGCTTGAATGCCCTCTAACTCACTTGTGCTTGCAAGAGTGCGAATCGATTGCGAGTGAGTGCGATTCTAGTGCGTTGCATTGTAAGATTGCATCGAGTGGCACTAGGTGATCGAGTTGCAAGCCGGTGGTGCTTGTTACTTTTGGAGGTTGCCACCTCCTAGACGGCTTGGTGGTGGTGTTCGTCGAAGCCCAAAGAAGCTTGTGCGGTGCTCCAGAGAAGAGCTTTGTGAGTGGCATTATGCTCGCCCCGCGGGAGCCGCGAAGAGCAACTCTAGTTGAGCGTGTCATTGAGCTACCCTCACTTTCGGGGTAGGTTCTTGCGGTGCCCGATTTGCGGGCTTGGCGGGTGATGCCAATTAGTCGCCGAACCACCAAGTGAGCGGTCGACACAACGGGGACGTAGCGTGTTGGCAAGCACGTGAACCTCGGGAGAAAATCACCGTGTCAACCTTGTTCTTCCCGTTGGTTTGCAATCCCCTTACACAAGCTTATGATTACTTTTATATACATTGTGCTTGTGTAGTTGCTCTGGTAATTAGTTAGGTTTTGTAGCTCACTAGCTACCTTCTTGCTTGTGTAGCATAGAAGTAGCTCCCTTGCGTGGCTAATTTGGTTTGTGTAACCTTGTTAGTCACTTTGCTTAGTTTGTGTAGCTAAGTATTTACGCTCTCTAATTTGGAATTGGTTGCCTTGTTATTGAGCATTGCTAGTGAGCTTAGTTGAATTTGTGCTTTTGCTTACTAGCACGTGTAGGAGCTCCCTCATTGCTTGAAATACTAGTGGCATAGGTTTGTGTGACCTTGCTTCTAGAATTGGTTAGGTGAGCTCTAGTTAGCCGGGCACCTTTGTTGCTTAATTAGGATCTTTGCAAGGTGCTAGAGAATATAGATAGATGGGTGTAGTCTTGGCTAGACCGATAGTTTTAATTCCACACTTGGTTTGGTTAGCCGACGCGATTAAGTTTTAGAAATGACTATTCACCCCCCTCTAGTCGCCATCTCGACCTTCAGCGGGAAACGAGGTGTAGGGAAACCGACCTGCAAGCGCGGGCGTGCATCCGGACCTCTGTGCGCTAGCATCTCCGTTTCACCTAGGAGTATCTCCAAGAGTTTTTAAAACACACTCTCAATCTTGATTTTTTGGCAAGATTGATAAAAAACACTCTCCAACAACTTCTTATCTCAACTTTGAATCTTACCACACAAGGTTCTCAATGCAAATATATAAGAGAGAAAGAAAGTATGCAGTAGTTGGGATGATTTGAAAATAGTCCAGAATTTCCAAATGCAAAATTGTTTTGGAGCAAGAATTTAGAAATGGACGGAGGTACCCAGTAAATATGCTCCCAACTTTTTTGTGGCCACTTGGAAAACATATTAATTTACCAATTGTTTTTTTGAACGATATTGGAGTTGCTCTAATAAAGGCTATGACCTCCCTGACTCAATTGGTAGCATAGGTTGATCCAAATAAGTTTTCTGCTATCATTGGCCAGAAACACCGACAACATCTGTCCTTTGTCAACCCAATGTTGTTTGGCTATAATTTATGATTTATTAACAACACGATAGTCACTAGATAAATATGCAAGCCCTCAAGCTTAGCTAATTTCTTGTGTTTTCCATGTTTTTCTACAGCTATGAGCAAGAGCAACAAAAGAGGTGCTGACTCCATTTTCTTTGCACACAACTCTTTTCTCCACATATGATGTATGCTGGTATTTACATGCAAATATCTAGCTGAGTCAACTTTGTTAGAGATGTCCTAGATGCTAGATTTTCGCAACATCAATGTTGACAAGTGATCGTGAACTTAATGAGGGCCTACAGTGGCATGGAAAGCTAACAGCTTTCCGTAAGCGCCAACCATGTAGGAGCAATACAAGGTGGTCTCAAAAGCATGTGTGAATGGTATCTAAACATGATCATAGTTGTCTAAGTTTTTTTAGATGCAAAACAAATGCATATATTTACATATATTTGCGTGCACATACACCTCTATAAGCAATCCTAAGATGGTGCATCGGTATATCATAAGATTGACGAAAGCCACTGAAACAATCTTGATGTGGAAATGAACACTCGCCAACTAAAAACAGCACCCCCGTGCCAAGTCAAAGATTAAAACCCAAATAGACAAGTTCTACCGCAAGAATACTGACTGACGAGGTAAGCTCTAATTTTTTTCCAACATACAGTAGGCAAAGGTTATAAGAATTTTACAGGCATTTTTGACACGAAAGAGTTAAGTTCGAGCTACCAAGAAGAACGAGGAAGTTACATTCAAAAGACTAGCGTGAGACTTATCACTTATGTCCTCTTAGGGTCTTTAAGAAAAATAAGAATAGAATAAAAAAATGAGAATGAGAGCCAAACACTCTAAATTTTAGAATTAGACTCTATAATCCAATTATCTATCTAAATCCTAGTACTCAAAGATTCTCATCATGCAAAGATAATAATCCACGATCCAAACACTAACTTATTGTTTTTATTCAGAAATCAATATTCCACATCACTATCTATCATCATTATGAGAGGATCCGTTCGGCTTGCTGAAACTTGGCTAAAACTGGCTGGAAAACACTGTTCTGGCTGAATTGTTGTGAGAGAAAAACACTGTTCCGGCTAAAAAAACAAGCCGAACAAGCGGTTTCTGAGTAAGCCGAATGGGGCCAATGAGATCTAAACAGGCCTTTAAGAGCGTGCAAAACTAGAAGCATAGACTTGACTGAGACTCATGACCTTTGTGTCCAGAGAGGCCGGGCCATCTATTTCGGACAGCTAAAATACAGAAATTTCATATACTGTAAAGAAAATCATAAAAAATAATTTAGTTTCACGGGCAAAATACAGAAAACAAGAAGATTTCTCCAATTCGAAGGGGGCTGAATCCGAGGTGCAAAATACAGAAAACAAGAAAATTTCTCCAGTTCGAAGGGGAACCGAATTTGTGGTGCAAAATACAGAAAACAAGAAAATTTCCCCAATTCGAGGGGGGGGGGGGGCGGGGCAAAGTTAATTTGTTGCATCGACAGAAAGGGAACACCATCGAGACGGCAAGCAACTTCAGATCTGAAGGAAAAGCAAGGAGCCGTCTTTTCCCAAATATTGCTTGCAGGACGGATTTGTGATGCGAATGTACCTGTCGTTTGAAAGATCGCGACGCCGCAGCCTCGCAGTGGCACGCACGAACACATACACACGGCACGGCAGGACTGCAGAGCACAGACAGAACAGTACTGCACTGCACTGCACGCTATTCAGAATCCAGGACAGAATCCTGATTGTTCCTTCAGTCCTTGGTTCGCCCATCATGGCAGGGCAGTGACCACGGTGCCGTCAGATCCCTGACAAGAGGCTGCCATCAAAGACGCCACGGCACCATGAGACCACCTGATCCACTCATGCCTCGTGGCTGGCTGCCGCAGGTGCTCTGCAGCGTCGTCCTCGGCATGCTGCATCAGTAGCCATGCACACACTCATTAACCTGAATCAGTTTTACCTGTAGGAGTATCTTTGATTCAGCAATCAGCACCGACTGACAACAACAAGGTGTCCACGCCATGTCCATCTCAATTCTCAACGCCAAACCAGTTAATCCACCAGTACATCATTCATGTCACCATTCACCAGACCAAGAAAAAGAAGAGGTTCCCAAATGCACCACCCCAACCGGCCAACCCCAGAGTTCCCTGACCGCCGCCGTGAATCACGACGGGGCCTTCTCTAACGGATTCGCGGGGCGAGACGCGCTACTACTGCTGCTGCCCCCCGGCGCCGGCGGAGCGGGGCCTCTTGGGGCCCACCTTGTCGCCTCCGGCGGCTTTCTTGGCGGCGACGGCGCGGGCGAAGGACCCCGACATGTCGCCGTAGAGGTCCACGACGCGGGCGATGTTGGTGTTGAGCTCCCGGATGAGCGCCACGTTGCGGGTGAGGCCGTCCGCGTCGCGGGTCTCCTGGTTCTGGCTGATCTCCTGGATCAGCACGCGGTTGTGCTCCAGGATCCCCTGCACCTCGCCGAAGCTCTTCTGCAGCACCTGCGGCAGCTTCGCGCCGCCGCCCGCGCTGGTCCCTGCTCCCACGCCGCGGCTGCTGCCGGTGCTGTTGTCGGCGCCGGAGCCGGCGCCAGTCCCCGCTCCCGCTCCCGCCCCAGCCACGAACGGCTCCCTGCTTCCGCTGCCGCTGCCGCTGCCGCTGCCGGAGCCGCCGTCCTCCTCCATCGATCCCGTCCCCGAGCTGCCCGCGATGCTGCTCCCGATGCTATGCCCTGCGCAATCAACAACCACGGATTCAGGAAAAGGTTCCCAAATCCTTCCTCCGTCCAGGAAAAAAAAAGATAAAAAGAAAAGAGAGCGAGGCTCGGAAACAAAAAAAATCCTGCGGCGGCCATGGTTCAGAGAAAAGATTCGCGGGTCAGAGGACGGTGGGGGAGCACGGAATGTACCTCGGAGGCGTCGAAGATCTGCCGCGGTGGGCACTGTTGTACGGGAGGATCAGGGCCACAGAGAGGGAGCTTTATAGGCGAAGCGGTGGGAGGGAGAGAGGGAGGATTCGCCGATTCGGGTGACAACGGCACCGGGTCGGGGCAGCGGCGAGGGAACGGGGGGCGCGTTTCCGACGGCGTGTCGACGAGATCCCTCCTCTCGGCGTTGGGGTTCTTTCCCGAAAGCGCAGGATTTTTTTGGGAAAGCGTCGGGATCGCTCACGCCTGCCCGTCGGGGCGCCCCCTGTCTCGGCTCCGCGGATGATCTGGCCATCCATGTGGATCCTGCCGTCCACGGAGATTTTTTTTTTTTGCCGTGGGGACCTCCGGCTCTTTTTTTTACGGTAAAAGGCTGTGTGTGTGGTGTGTGTGTTGGGGGTTCTCCACAGCAGATTTTAGGTAAATTTAATAAAAACTTTAGACTTTACAGTTTACTTACAAGAAATTAACTGAAAGCATCAAGCCAGAAGCAGAAGGAGGACCTAAGATCCTCCTTAAATCTAAAAGACCGAAGAATACATTGACTTTTGAAATTTGACAACCACAATACCGGTGTAGGATCCCTTCTTTGGAAGACCTTGTCGTTGCGTAGTTTCCATAGCTCCCAAGCTACAATCATTGCTGCATCCGTGAAAAAGGGCAACTGATGTGTATCTCATCCTCTGATCAACCTGTCAAGCAGATCAAGTGATTCATCCCAGTTGATTTGGATGGCTACCCCAGCAATCTTGCGCAAATGGGCAGTCAAAGAAAAGATGATCGATGGTCTCCGGCATGCCATTATTGCACATGACACAATTAACATCATCATGGATGTTTATGTGCCTCCGCTGCAACATCTCTTTTGTGTTCAACCGGTCCACCAACACTAACCAGACAAAGAACTTAATTCGCGGCGTACATCTTGATTTCAGATGATCTTGAAAATTGGGTGCGCCTCTATCTGTGAGAAAACATGGGGGTAAAATCTTCGAGAGGAGTATGAGGATCCCCATGTCGGTGTCCATTGATCTCTAGAACTATCATCATACTATACATCCTGGAGTTGTTCCTGTAGGCTGTCAAACTCAGCAAATGCCTGTTGAGATAGTGGCATTATGAAGAGTGTCTCCAGATCCTCAGCCTGCATTATTTCAAAAACCGAGATGTTCTCTTGTCTAGCAAACGAGGCCAGCCTTGGATACTACACTGAGAGCACCGAACCCATCCACCAGTCATTCCATAAGCTAACCGTAGTACCATCACCAATTGTGCAGTTAGCAATACCTCGGTACAGTGGATTCAATCGAAGTACATCCTTCCACCAGAAAGACCCCATCTCTCTGGTCGCGTGCGGTACTTTTGAGTGATAATATTTGCTCCAAATCAGGTTGACCCATGGGATGTCTATTTTATTGTAGAATTTATGCAGCTGTTTCAAGGGTAGAGCATCATTTTGTAGCCTGAGATTGAGTATGCCGAGACCACCTTTATCTTTAAGCTGCTGCACCACCGGCCAGGCAACAAAGTTGCCCCCTTTTTTCTCGGTATCACTGCCACGCCAAAGACATTGCTTTCTAGCTCGGTCAATATTCTCTATGACTCATATTGGCAATTTGATTGTACACATGGCATAGGTGGTGATAGGGGTGATAGCTGGGTTAATCATCTCCAATCTGCCCGAGTAGGATAACCATGTTGAACAGGCCGATAGGCGCCGTTCCACCCTATCCATCATAGGGACAAGATCATACATCTTAGGTTTTGTCATTCCCATGGGCAAACCTAAGTATGTAAAAGGCATGGTTCCAATCTCACAACCGAAAGTATTTGACAGATGGACCATCTTCTCTTGAGACACATTGATGGGGACCATGCCATGCACGCTCCGGTCTCGGCTTTCTAGTGCCGTTGCTGCTGCTAGTGCCTGTGATTAAGGCCATGGTGGTGGTGCCATTGGCGTGCATGGGGGTATCTTGAGTGTCACGTTTCCAGGATGGTGGTGGGCGAAGAGACGAAGAAAAACAAGGTTGACGGGGTGATGGTAGAGCAAGTAGGTTAGTTCTGAGATCTTAAGCATAAATTGAGTACATAGATCACCAGCACTACTTCAGCACTACTTTTCAGCGAACGAACAGTATTTTCCCCTCACACCACATCAGCATAAGCCAAATTTCAGCGACACGAACAGGGCCTAGTTCAGAACAAAGCAATATCTTAAATTGCGGGTTGTAGCATTTAGCGGATAGGTCTATTTAGCCGCTAGTACAGCTGTGTTGTAGCGGCAACTATACTGAGCCGCTATAGCCCGCTATTTAAAACAATCGAACAAAGTGACATAGATTTGGTATTTGGAGAAAGAAATTATGAAATAAACGTTCAAACTTCAAACTATATAGATCGGTAACGTAGATCCAGTGTATCAGGAAACAAATCACAAAATAGAGACTAAAACATAGAGATCGAAATATGGCGACATAGATCCCGTGTCTGGCGTCACGAATCGTGAAATAAACAATCAAAGATCCGCGACTACAGATCCACTCTATGGAGAGATGAATCACAAAATAAACAAGGAAAACACCGAGATTAGAATACGGCGGCACAGATCTGGTGTTTGGAGAAACAAATCATCGTGAACTAGCAAAAGTATGGACATTAGAATATGATGATGTGGATCCGAACTCAAAACAAACAACCAAAGCATATATATCAGAATACGACGGCGTAGATATAGTATTAGGGATAATTTTTTTGTGAAATCCGCACCGGGAAATGGAAATAGATAGTACCATGATTGATTTGGAGCCACCATGGTTGTACTTGTGCCTCCTCCTCTGTGGCACTAGTGCCCGCCCTCTGTTCTCGGTGATGGGTCTCTAACCCTGACCAGAAAAGGCTAGATCTACGGCGGTTCTTGCTCACTTGCCATCCTTTGACCGGAGGCGCCATCTGCCACTCAAGACCAGAAGCCCCAGTTGGTGAAGAAAGGAAATGGGACCACTCAAAGAATAGCAAGGGAGGAAGCGCTTTATATTCCTCTATCGTTACTATGATCCTTACTTTGGTGGGCCGGTTCAATTTAGTAGATTGCCATAATTGGAGTACCAAATGATGTGGCCCACTACAGGTTGGTCAGCCCAAGTTCTTGAGAATCGAGACACTCATGAAAGTGCATCTAGGGCCCCTAGTGGGTTTTAATGATTGAATGATAAAATAGTTAAAAGACTAATGATTTTTGGATATGTATATTGCAAATGATCATACCAAACAATGTTGTATCTTGAAATTAAGAAGAGTAAAAAATTTGATAATGTAAAAGGGGAGAATGGATATTGGATATAATTTGTTCTCGATGATGGCTTGCTTGAATTTATGAGGAGATATTGATAGTTCCTTGACACTGAGATTGATATATAAAAAATATGTGATCAAGAGCAATGGGAATTGCAATGATCTTTTTTGTCACACAGATATATTCCTAATAAAAAAGTTGATCAGCGAATTAATAATTCAGGAAAAGACAATATGATAGCTTTGTTGATCACAAGATTGATTTAAAGTAAACATTCAAGTAAGGATCATGTTATTGGAGAAATGGAATTCAATGAATGCATATTGTTGATACAAAGTGACTTGGGGATTGCAAGATAGGGTGACGGTCTAAGCAAGAATTTTGACTTTGAAGAATTAAGTGAAGGTGAAAGTCAAACGACGGTCTCGCGTTGAGGAACCAAGGCTAGGGTGAAGAAGCAAGTATTTGGTTAACATAGAGGAACTCATCATATCATGGGGAGGTATGCAATACCAAGTATCAAAACTTTGTTGGGTCATTAGTTAAAGTGACTTGAAACTATGTATTGAACCCTTATGCGTTGAAATAGTTCATGTCACAAGCTTGTTCATGATAAAATATCACATTTTCATACACTCAAATATTGTCAACAACCTCAGAATAAAACGAAGATAAGCATATCATGAGCATATTTTATCAAACAACAAGTTCCACATGTCCATGGAGTATTTTTCTGCATGACAGTAAAATGGAGAAGATGAGCCAGTGAGCCCACCATATGGGGGTCAGCCAACACCCCTATGGGGCCCATTGCCCTCTCAATCCTCCCATGAACCAAGAAACACAACTACAAGCCATACCAACCCTTCGATCAAGTTTGGTTTTCTCTCAATGGCTCAAGATCAAAGCACATGGATTGGATGGCCCACAAGTCAAGAAACCGACATGGCAAGGTGGTCCCTGGCTGTCCGATCGCCAGGTGCCAATGTTCACATTCCAATATCGGCTACCTACAACGGCGGCCCCATGCGCTAACATTAGAACTTGGTGGTCCCACCGGGAAAGACAATGGTCCCACCGCTGTAGGGTCGAGATGGTGGACTAGGGGGGTTGAATAGTCCTTTTCTAAAATTAAACGCACCAGCTAACCGAGATAAATGTGGAACTAAAACTAACAGTCTAGCCAAGACTACACCCCTCTATCTAAGTTCTTAAGCACCTTAAGAGATCCTAATTAGGCAACAAAGGTGCCAGCTAGAGCTCACCTAATCAATTCTAGAAGCAAGGTCACACAAACCTATGCAACTAGTACTTCAAGCCATGGGGGAGCTACTACTCAAACTAGTATGCAAAAGCACAATGCCTAAGCTCACTAGCAATGCTCAATAACAATGCTACTCAAGCCAAATTAAAGAGCTCAAATTACTTAGCTACACAAACTAAGCAATATAACTAACAAGGCT